TGGAAGATATGCATTATTTTTGTCTCAAATCTTATTCAGTTTCCCGCCAAATGCTTTTTGCACTTTTGTAGCGCGAAATGATTGCAGCGGTGTTCTTTAAATATGCCGAAGCCGAGCATCCAGTACATGCATTTATTTTTTACAACACATCTGACATCTGGTCGGCGTACCACTGTATCCTTCCCTGACTTTAGGTCCGCTTTCTTGCTGCCAGGGGAACTGCCATCAAAATCGTCTTGAACCAAATGGCCTCAGCAGTAAAATACTTTTGAAGATTGTTTCCCTTGAACGCTGTGGTTTGAAAATTGAGCAGATTTGAAAAAGAGGTCATACGCTTTCTCTCACGAACTAACTAATAACTGTGTTCTACTCCAGTGAATAGCGCCAATATTTTGAATACTCAATTTCTTTCGGAGTGAACGAGGCTTGTCAACAAGAGTGGTTTACTAAGTGTCACACAGAGGCATGTGTTTGTGTGGAATGTACTAATCCGTAGCTTCGAGTGTGCCCCATTCATACTCAAAGAGTCGGCATATTTGCTGTTTTCGGTCAGCACAAACACCTGCTGTGAAATGTTCATCTAAAAGTGTTGCATTACTTTGTTCATATAAACTGTGCAGATGGCCAGGAAGAAGCTAAAGCTGTATCAGCACGTAAGTAACTTTACTCTGAAAATTTCGAATGTAATTTACTCTGTTTCAAGATTTACTCTGTTTCAGCGCAGTGTATATTTTTGCATTTGCTTTGGAAAAACTTGCAGCTACCTTGTGAAATGGCAACATATATTCGCGTTTAAAAACTTCGAGTACTTCTACCGAACTGCATTGACATGCAAGTTTTGCCATGATCTTTGCTAATACACCCAGCTAAATAATTCTGAAGCCAAACAACTAGGATTGCCAGCACGTTGTCATGCATATTTACCAGTGGTCACCATGTTCATTCTTAGGCATTTTGAAAACAACGTGCATGGTATAGAGCTTGCACCGTCTACTAACTAATGAACTCATGATTGTTGCGAATTTACCGCCGCAGAAGGGGATATCAGCAAAATGATAGCCACTTCTAAAAATCTGTTCCATAGATATCCTCAGAATATCAGGAAAACCCAAAAGCGAAGGTATCGGCAGCACTTATGGCATACGAATGTTTTCAGAACAGCAAAATTGGATCCATATTTTTAAGTTGGGTCCAGGTTACGTAGATGGGTCCCACATAACCTGTCTGGGGGCAACGTGCTCTGTGTTATGGTTGTGTGGTGGTCAGTTAAATCTCTTGCATATGTGAGGTTTGAACGCAATTGGAATATATTTTCAGGCGGTAGAATGGCTTTTGCTCAATCCTTCCTTTTACATTCAGCCACGATGAAATATAAAGGCTTCCAACCTTTGAATAAAGCAAGGTTTTCCATCAATTTGCGCCACTGATTGATGTGAAATTCTATTCACCATTAACGTCGCCAGAAAAGAGTTATTTACAAAACTAAATAAGCTGTCTATTTGACTTCTGATAGCGAAACAGTATTCAGGACTAGATTTGTTTAACTACAATCGAACAAGTCAAACGACAAGATGTACGGAAATGAAACTATAAATCAACCAGTCTGAGCAATTTGCGATAAAGCAATATGGACGTTTTGCTGTTTGGAAAGCAGCGCGTTCCTTGTTATGCCGAATTGTTATCCGAGGAAAACTAAGAAACCCTTGGCCATAATCTCTAACAAGTGCAAATTCCTTAGTTTCTCCCCCATTTTGTTTCCCAAAGCGCACTATCTATCCATGAATACCAACAAAGGAGAATTAAAAGCCAAAAAATGAGGATAATATTTCTGCTGAAGAAGTGTCCGTCCATTTGAGAATGGCCTGATTCTAATTTGATCTCCGTTTTACTTTTATTTCCACGCTCAGTATATGTGCTTGCAACAACTAAATAAGTAAAAGGCATGGGGTTACCAAATATTTTATGGAATTTTTTCCACATTTTTTTAAGCAAATGTTTTTAGATATGGTGGACGATCTAAGTTAAATCCACCGAATTCGGAGAAAATGTGAAAAATTTAATTCAAATAAAAGAATGCAGTTTTCACTTGCAATAGGTCAACACTGGTACACGAGATCGTATATCCTCTTATAGTTCTTTGGACACACATTGACTGAGCATCTTAAGGCCTGCCAGAAAACGTGACAGGGAACTAACTGCAGAATTTGTCAACAAAGAAACCTGAAATATTTAATCTGTCCGACCCAGTTAAAAATAATATAATAATAATAATAATAATAATAATAATAATAATATAATATATATATAATAATATATG